ATATCCTCTCAACCTAACCACAGATTTAGGGACCAAAGTATGGATTAGTCAATGTTCTTTATGCACTCTCAGAGGGTAAAAAATATAATTGCTCTTATTTGGCACAATACAATTTTATATGTATTTTAAATGATTTTATTTACTTCACAATACATAACCTCATTGTAAAGGGAAAGAATGATTTTTTAAATTTGAACTCTTCATTACAAAACTTTGTTTAGTATTAATAAGTTTACTTTTGAAGTTTAGCAAATAGCTTAGTTAACCTAGTTCTTTTAACCGCATTTCATTTAGCATACAGTAAACTTACTTTAAATTTTTTTTGCGTACTTAACTATTGGAGTTTGAATATAGTGTTTTACATTATAACCATAAGAACTTCCAACTCTATGTGGGATCGATACTTTGGACTCCATTAGAGATTTATTACTTGAGCGATACGTATATTTTTGTGTTATTATTACAGTTTGACAGCTTAAAGATTTTAAAGGATAAAACAATTTATACTGAATTTATTTTTATTAGGATTAAACTGCATATTTACTATATGTACTGTTATGTGTGTATAGTAATATTGAAAGATATTTGTAACACACTACAAAAACCATGCATCACTAAGTTACCCTTACGTATAGCCACGCTCAATTGGTTTTACTACTCATTTATTAACTTTTATTTTAAAAGCCCTTTTGGGTCTATTCATATTACATCTGATCAAATTTTATCTCAATATGCTCTTATTCCTTTAACTAAGTCTTTCTTTCATTTAGTCATACAATGTAGTTAGACATTTTTTATTTCCAAGAATATATCTATACTTGAACTACTCCTTTTTTATTTAGATAGATTATTTTCTTTAAACTGATCTAGCACTCTAAAGATTAGATTTTTTTCTGATTATCTAACATTTAACAATGAGGATTTTGTATCTTATGTAAATACTTGAACCTTGATCATCTTATTAATGTCTTTGTTATCCCTTTTGCATATTATTGCAATTACTTATGCATGAGATTAGTCAACACAAATAAGTTGGGGACAATCCCTTTAATTTTAAGACATGTCCTTTTTATGATAGCTTCACTTCATTATTAAATGATATTAGATTCAATAATAATAGTTATCATATTATAACTTAACCTTATATGGCTATTCAGGAATGTAAATGTGAGAATATAAATGAATTGAAGAATGTCACCTTAAATGATTATTTTCTTAAACATCAATTTTAAGGTTGTAGTATTAAGTCAATTTAGTTTAATTTGATAAAAAAATTAAATAAAAATAGTTAAAAAATAATACTTATTTTATGTACATTGAAATAAAATAAAATTTACTATATTTATACCGCTTGGATGAGAAATTTATAAGAGTTTATAAGTGGGCGCATATTCATAATAACAAAAATAATAAGCATATAACTTGCATTGAATATCATGAACCTTAGGATAGATATTCTAACATAAGTATGATCTTAAATTAATATGCTCCAAAGTTTTAATTTATTAGATATTAGCAATCTTAACCTAAACACAATTATAAGATTAAATGAGTATCTCTAATTGCATATATCTAGTCTTTCTTCTCACTCTTCTATGAACAGCTCTTATATTATTGAAGAGTGTAAACCCATGTCTTTCTAATCAAGCATTTATAAATTGCATATAAATCTCAATTTTCTTTCCTAAATTTGAAATATGAGGCTAATTTTAAATGATATAATTCATGGCTATTGATTAAACATTTCATAGCTACATTAGATTGATTGCTTTCATGGCTAAGTGATTTCAAGTTTAGTCATATTATATGATGGACATATGAAGGCCTAGCTAATATTATTTTTATCTTTGACTTAACTTTTAACTTTTACCCATAGTAGGTTTATTATATTTAGTTTTAAGCCTTCATATAAATTAGTATTAGGATAGGATCTTGGAATATTGGTACTCTCAAAGATAAAGTAATAGAATTAATTGATATTATGGTTCATAGGAAGATAAATATCTTATCTATTTTAAAAACTAAATGGGTTTGAGAAAAGGTAAAGGTGATTAATAGCTTAGGTATTAAATTTTGGTATTCATGTTGGAGTTGCTCTAGATTGGTGTAGCTATAATTATAGATAAAAGTTTAAAATATAATATTGTAAAAATTAAAATAATTGAAAATGGAATTATAGCCCTAAGAATTGGTCTGATACTAAGATTTTTAATGTTATATGTAATCATGCTCCTCAAGTAGGTTTAGATATTAGTTGAAAAGAAAAATTCTGGAATGATTTAAAAGAATTAATATAAATGATACCACTTGAAGAATTAGTTCTTATTGAAGGAGATTTAAATGGACCTGTGGATAGAGTGGTGAAAGATTTTAGAAATATTCTTGGTGGCTATGATTTTGGAGTGATTAATGAAGAAGGTAGAACTATATTAGAATTTATTTTAGCATATAATTTTGTTATTGCTAATGTTTTATTTAAGAAAAGAGGTGAGCATATTATTAGTTATAAGAATGAATCTAATAAAACTAAAATTGATTATTTTGTTATCAGAAAAAGAGATCATCGAGAGTGTAACAAGGTCATTCCAAGTGAAAGTTTAAGTACTAAACATTGATTATTAGTTATGAAATTTAAGATGAAGAGTTGTAAAATAAGGAATACAAGAAATATTGTTGTTGAATTAGATGGGAGCACCAATAAGACAAATAAAATAATTTTTATGAGTAAACTTCAAGATTTTAACACTTGGTATGTTGATGAAGAATCAAATTCTATGTGGGATAATGTAACAAGCACTATTCAATTAGTGACAAAAGATGTACTTGGAGAATCAAAAGAAAAAGTTTTGATAAAAAAAATAGTTGGTGGTGGAATAATATTGTGCAAGAAAAGAAAACATATGAGAAGGTGTGTTATAAAAATTGACTTTAACGTAATAGCTTAGAGAATTGTGAAAAATATAAGGTGCCCCGTAGAGTTTAAGAGAACAATTTGTGATGCTAAAATTTCTACTTTTAATAATATTTATAATATATTAGATACTAAAGAGCGTAAAAAAATATATGTATAAATTAGTCAATAAAGAGAAAAAAAGTAAAAATTTAATTATGTAAAGTTTATTAAAAATGAAAATAAATAAAAATGATTTTCTTAGAGGAAGACATATGTGGGTGAGCTATTTTGATAAAATTTTCAATGATATTTCTGAAAATATAATTGACCTTTGTGATCTTAATATCATTAATAACAATAAAATAATTTATTTTTACTGTCACATTAGTAAAAAAGACATTGAGGAGACTTTAAAGAAAATCAAGAGTGCAAAATCAGTAGGACCTGATAATATCTCAAATGAAGCGTGAAAATGATTTGAGAGTTTCTTGGCTTACCAAACATTTGAATATTCTTTTAAGAACTAAATGGATGGTTGAGGATAGGAGGAAGAGTATTTTGGTCCTCATTTTTTTAAAAAAAGTGGATGCACAAGAGTGTACAAATTATAGAGAAATTAAGCAGATGTGTCATACTTTAAAATTATGGGCGAGAGTAATCGAACATAGGTTAAGATATGATACAAAGATTTCTCATAATCAGTTTGGATTTATGTAGTTAAGGAGGATCTACATATGATTTTTCTTGGTATAGCAAAACTTACAGTAAGGTTCTAAGAGAAGTCTTTTGGAGAGTTCGAGAGAAGAAAGGTGTTGATATGACTTATATTCAAGCCGTTAAAGATATGTATACTAGAGCTGTTACTAATGTTTGAACATAAGGAGGATTGACCAAGTATTTTCTTATTTTAGTTGGATTACATTAGAGATTGACCTTAAGCCAAATCCTTTTTCTTTAGCTATGGATGTTCTTATAGGACATTACAGGAGGATGTACATTGGTGTATGCTTTCCACTGATGATATCCTTCTTGCGAATAATACTATAGAAAGAGTTCAAAAAAACTTGAATTATGGAGGCCTACATTGGAGTCTAAAGGCCTTCATTTGAGTAGGTGTAAAATTGAATACATGGAATGTACTTTTAGTAGTAGTAACTTTAGTGACAGAGTTGTAACTATGGGTTATCAAATCATTAAAAAGTGAGATCATTTTAGATATCTCGGGTCTATAGTTCAAAGTGGTGGTGATACATACAGGGATGTTATTAGTAGAATTCAAGTTGGTTGGTTGAAGTGAAGGTATGCATCAGACCTACTGCGTCGACTGCGTCGTAGAAAAGTACTGCTTAGACTAAAAGGAAAATTTTATATGATGGCGATGAGACCTGCAATGCTCTATGGCACAAAATATTGGCCTTTAAAATTGAAGCACACAAAAAAGATAAGTGTTGCTAAAAGATGACAATGATTAGGTAGATGAGTGGCTTGACACTTAGAGACAAAATGTGAAATGAAAATATCCGTGATAGGATTGGCTTAATTCCAGTGGTTGACAAGATTAGAGAGAGTCGTCTTAGATGGTTTGGTCACATTAAATGGCGATTATCTGAAGATCCTGGAAGGAGAGTATATATTTTAGATTAGACTTATATTAAGAAAGACATAGTTAAAACCTAAAAAAATTGGTCTTAGAGTATAAAAAATAACTTTAATTTGTTAGAATTAAATAAAAATTATGACGCTCAATAGGGCACAATGTAGAAAAAAGATGCATGTAGCTGACCATACTTAGTGAGATAAAGACTTGATGTTGTTGTTATTGATAATCAATAATTCTTATCATATATATTTTTATTTAAAGAGAAACAATTGCCACATTCCAAAAGGTTGATCTATCTTTTATATTGTACAATGAATAATTTTTAAGCATAGGCTATTCTTTAAGGGTAGTAGTTATTGAATCATAGTCAAATAACTTCTAACAATTAACTTATAATTATTATGATTAAATTCACTTAATTTAGGAAAATAAAATAAAAGAAAATATACTATATGTATTGATCCCATGAATAAAATTTATTATTATTATTATTTTGATTCCTGCAGTAGCCTCTCCTTAATCTGGCCACAATGCTCGAAGTAGATTCCCGTGAATATCGTCCAATAGAAGAATCGATCTGAACTACAATATTCAATATGACCATCATCTCCGGTGCCGCTCCCGCTCCCGCTCCCGGAGCCCGCTTCGCCCTCGTGGCTCTTCTTTCCTTTTCCGCTTTCTGCCTCTGGAAATCCTACAGTCTCCGTCACCGGCGCCGCAACCGCACACCCTCCTTAACTTTTCCAAACCCTAACCCTAAGCCTAAACCTAACCAACCAGCAAAAATCTTCTTCGCCTCGCAGACTGGTACTTCGGAGTTTCTCGCCCGTCGCCTCGCTACCCGCCTCTCCGCATGCGGCATAGCGGTCGACATTGTCGATCCCCGAGATTACGAGCCAGAAGACCTGCCCAAGGAAACGGTAGTCCTCATTGTCGCCTCCACATGGGAAAACGGCGAGCCTCCCCCCAACGCTGCGTTTCTCGCCCGATGGCTTGCAGAAAGCGCCGCCGACTTCCGTGTTGGATCCCTGATGCTCACCCGTTGCCAGTTCGCGGTGTTTGGGGTTGGGTCTCGGTCGTACGGCTCGACCTTCAACGCTGCTGCGCTAGACTTTACGCGGTGGATGAAGGAACTGGGCGCTGCGGAGATGATGCCATTGTGGGATGGGGATGTGGACGGAGGGGGGCTTGAAAAGGAATTCGATTTGTGGAGTGAGGAAATCTTGAGTTTCATGAAGGGGGAAAGGAGATTGGGTGATGAAGCGAGGAGAGATGAAGTTGATGAGCTCGAAGAGGATGTGGAGTTTGATGATGTTGATGAGGTGGTTATTGAGACTGTGGAGGATGATGTTGTTGATTTGGAAGACATTGCTGGAAAAGCACCGTCGAAAAAAACGAGTGGGGAGCTGGTCAATGGTAACGGTGGGATCAAGGAGATGGTTACGCCAATCATTAGAAAAAACTTGGAGAAACAGGTGGCATTACTGGGGTCCCATTGCATGCGATTTTACTTCTGTTTAGTTTGTATTATTAATGCTCGGTTGATTATCTGCTGATTGAAGGCCATTACTAACTGGTTCTATCATGGGCAACTTTAACCTATAGGAGTTCTATACTTCATTACTTTGTTTATGGCTGTCTAAAAATGTACAAATTTCTTACTTTCTTGTGAGTTAGAGAACTTTGCCTTGGTAAGATTTTTGTTGCAGGATTACATTGCAACATATTTCTTTAATTTTCTCGGTAAATCAAGTTGGACATACAAGTATAGATCATCTATGGTTCTGAATATGCAGGATCATTTTTATTGTGGGTTTTGAATGTGAAAAAATTCTTTACCCTCTATGATTTCAGTGGGTTCTATTTTAAGTAAGTGCAATTTTATTATTGCATGGAAAATGTCTAGTAACTAGCGATCTTCCTTCTCTTATTTAACTACTCTTATTTGAGCATGGCTTTTGGTCGTTAAGCAGTTTTAATTCTATCAATAACTGGTGGCAATGTGGTTTATGGATTTCATTTAAATCTTCGTAAGTTTTTTTTTATAGCAGACGATTTTTAATACATCTTTTTTCATGTTCATTATTTATGCGGGCCTCTTACACTTGTATATTTTCATGTCTAGTTTGCTTCTGATCCTATTTTTATTGGGTTGAACTCTTTTTATTTATTGCATGTGACAAAGAATACCACAAAAGAAATAGGTTTGACAAAAAGAGGAAAAATGAAAATTTGGATGAATTGAACTAAAGAGGATATATTAAGAAAAAGTTGCTTTAATCCTTGCGCTTAAACAAGACTATCACTTTTACTAATAATCTGCTACAAACTTAATAAGGTACATTAAAACAACAAGGAACTACAAAGTATAATAAGCATAAGAAATACTTGAATTCAAAACTCTCTGTGGAAAGATACTAACATTTTATTAGAGAAATATATTATGGTCAAAGAGAGGTATGGTCTACATATTAGAGAATTGGTTATAATGAACTTGGACAAATCTATTTGGAGAGAGATGAGTGTGTCGAATTGAGTTATGAAGATTCAATTTAGAGTTTATGTTCTTAGAGAAATTGTCATAAAAGATTTGTCTTGCCTTCACTCAACCAATAATCCTTATTTATATATAAAGATCAAATTCTACATTATACAATTATATACATAGTATAATTATATAGAGACTAGAAATAAAATAAAAACTCAATGTTGTTGTGTGGAGGGCTAATTAGGTTTGTGGTCGTTTATTAATCAAGAACTTAAGATGAGTTTAGAATTGAGGGCAAATAACCCTTGCATGTTCTTTGGCCAAGAATTCATACCCAACTGGTGAGTACTTTTTGTAACATGTTGAGTTATTTGTGGCAAATAACTTTGAATTGATGAATGATTTTGTCGCTCCCTCAAGCAAGTTCAGTAGTTTACTTGCTAAATATTAAGGACTGAGTTAGAGCTAATTCTCGAGTGATTTGATGAGATTTGGTTCCGGGCCACTTAGGCTAAGGGCATTCTGAGTTATAGGTGGTCCAAACCAACTCAAAATTAGCATCTTCTTGAACACATTTCAAGCTTATATACTGACCTGATTAATTTGACACAGATAAATATGAGTGCACATTAATTATTTGATTCTATTTGTTCTAGAAGTTGGGAAGTGCAGGAGATTTAACAAGAACAAATTCATCTTGGGTAACTCGAGCTAATCTGAAACATTAGCTTTACATGATGAATGAATATTTGAGATGTGTTTGGCATGTCAATATCGATGCCTCTGAATTTGTGGTTCATGTTTCATTTTCAAACCTTGTTTGCACTTTGGGCACTATGCTCCTGATTTGTAACTATTTTAGGGCTGTTATTTTTGCAAAAAGAAGACATTTCAATGCAATTTTGGTTGGCATTTGATGAACTTAAAGAGAAGTTTAGGGAGATTGCCAAGCAAAAATTATTTGTTTAACACTCATAATAAAAACAAATGAAAATATGAGGACTTTGGGATAAGGCTAATGATTGTAATGATTTTGGAAGTCACAAATACTCAAATATATTATGATAAACGTGATAGGATTCTCCGTAGAAATTATTTCAAAGCAATTATTTTTTTCTTCAAAGCTAACAGTATAGCTACAAACACTTAAAATAAAGGATAAACACCTAGAATTGGAGAGGTAGGCGATCTCTCCCAATTCCTACCTTTTTTTATGTAGGAGTTCTCTCCCACACCATAAACCCTAAGACTCAAGACACAATCTTTTGCATAACCCTAACCCTAAATATATTAGCCTATCTATGCTAAACCATAATAAATGACAAAATACTAAATTGCTCTTAGGATAAGAAAAGACAAATTTGCCTTTAGATGCCGATCTAACATTACTTTTCTCTCAAGAAGTCACATTGTCCTCAAAGTGGATAAAGGAAAATTGGTGCTGAATTAAGTTCATCTGTCTCTTCGTCACACAGTGTGAGAACCTGCAACGTCCTATTCTCGCAACGGTGCCTTGAGGAAAACTTTCATAACTAAAAAAACATAACCCCTTTGCTCGTTTCTCTTGAATCTCTGTCTCTGTAAGACTCTTGAAGTTGAACCCTGAGTAGTGTCCCCATATTCTTCTTTTTTAGTGGTTCCCCCTGAAATGATATCATATGAGTCATCGATGTCATGGTCGTGCAAGTACTCATGTGTAATTCTCTCATGGTGATGCTTCTGTTGTCCTCCATTTGGTTCTTGTCCTCCATCAGGTGGGCTAGCTCCATCATCTCTCCCAATCTGTACGGTTTCAACAGTCGGAGTGTTGCATGTATATTGGGTTTTAAACCCTTCATGAAATTCCTCTCTTGTATTGTTTCATAAATCCCCCTCAGCTGTCGTGACAGTAGCTGGAATCTCTCTCGATCCTCCATGACAGTCCCTTCTCGAGTCAATGCAAAGAATTTCTCGTGTGTTTTTTCTGACCGGTTCGAAAATGTTTTAACAAGCAATCCTTAAATTATTCTCATGAGCGGATCAAGTATCTAGCCTCCTTCCATTGAAATCATGTTGATTCATTCCTCTCTAAATGTAACCCCATTGTCACTAGTTTCTCTCCATTTATCCCATTCATCGCGAAATCACTCCACCCAATACACTAATTCATGTGCGTCGTCCCCCTCGAATATCGATATATTTAACTTCGTAATCTCAATATCTCCACCCCAACTTCTTCTCCCTTTGTTATTTTCCCCTATGTATCAAGGGTAAAGCTCCTTCCTTCGATCATAGTCCCATCCCATTCTAACTTCTCTTTTTTTTTTTTCTTTGCGCTCTTTCATACTGCTTGTATAATCCCTTTTCCATGTTTCGACCCAACCGTATCCATCAGAATTCTCTGATCCATCCCCCATCAGAGCCTCGCGAGGAGATTCTTGATGGTGGATTCTTTCCTTCTCGTGTTCATCTTTTTCAATCTCGTTTCATTTCAATTTGCTAATGAATTTTCGGTCAAGCCTTGGTTAGGGTTTGCAAACTGAAACGCCGACGGAGTCATGGATTGCAGCTCGACATGCCTCCTTATCATCTCTTTCAAGTTCTCGAATCAGTTGTCAATGGAGGAAAATCTTTCCTCTATTTAAGTTGCATTACCTCTTCCTTCAATTTTTTTTCCAATTCTTGGCCACCATTACCCACAAATAGATTTTTTTATCACAAAGGCGGAGAATTTTTAAGTCATGATTTTGTTTGTTGCTTCCCATTCCTCAAATCATGTTTGTATCACTACTAGGGTATTTGCTTGTATGCCATGATGCTTCCCAACTACCTCCAATGACGATTGTAAGGGTTATGCGTAATCCCATCGTTGCCTTCCCTATTGACTAGACTCATAATTATATCACGATATTTGGTGTCCATGTACTCAGTGATCTATACGCCATGACCCTCCCGTTAGCTTCCAACATAGTTTGATCGCGACTGTATTGTGATTATAGGTACATGCGATATCGACATTATTTCCTGGCGCGATTTTGATCCTTCCTTGGCTTCACAAGTGCTATTTGATACTTTACTAGGCATTGTTTTGAAAACTGGTTTGGATTGGCCGGTCGGACCATTCCAACCGGAAATCGAGAGTGGTACCGGTTTGGACATGAGTAAAACGGATTTGCAAAGATCCGATGTTGAGCTGTTCGAATTACAGGTCCAACTGAAAATCCATTCGAACCGCCGGCCGGTTTCTTATTTGTGATCGCTTCTCTGCCGTTGGCATAGGGAGTTTCTGAATTTTCCTCTGCCATAGGAGAAAGACAAAAAGCATTTCGAGGTCATTAAATTGGTTTGAGTCTAGTTCTCGTTGTCATCTACGGTACACTCGTCTTGACCTTTTTTAACTTTTCAAAAGTCTAGGTCATCACTTTTTCTCATTGAGAGTTATTATTGTTTAATTTATTCGTTCACGGCCACACATTCAAATTACTACCCATCATGAACCTCTGGCAACACCCTGCATGTCCCATAAACTTTCTCACTCCCTTGTGGGTTTTAGGCAGTGGCCCTTTCAATATAGCCAACACATTTGATGGGTCCACTGACACTAAGGTCTTGCACAACCTAGAGTCACCACGGAGCTCCACCTTGCTCCCTTCCACCATAATCTCCATAGTTAAGGATTTCCAATCCGCCTTTGTTTGTATGATCAGTTGTAGCCACTTTATCCCTAGAATTATATCAGTACTTCCCTGGTCATAGGGAAGGAAGTCCTCTATCACCTGTATGTTCTGTAGTGTCAGCACCAATCCCGTGCAAATTCTTTTGCATTTCTTCACCTTCTTGATCCCCATCATAACCCCAAAACTTTCTGTATCTACAAACTTTAATTCCAATTGGTCCACAACTCGATTTGAGATGAAGTTGAGTGGCCTCCCTACTATCCACCAACATCACCATTAGTTTCTACTTGATCTGTCCTCTCACCTTCACAGTGTGATTTAGAGTAAATCCCACCACTGAGTTGAGGGACATCTCCGTTACTTCCAGGTTTAAGCTCTCCTCTCCCTCCATCGCTTCTTCCTCCGACTCCTCACTATCTGCTTTTTTTCCCTCACAAACTAGAAAAACTTAAGTGAGTGCGATCCTTACACTGTTGGTCTTGGGCGTACTTTTCAATACAGAGGAGAGCAAAGGGACTATCATTCTCACACCGCGATCCCGTTTTCATTTCCCAGTTACACGTCGTGATCCCTGCTTTCTTGCTAGTTTGACCATGACTGCATTGTGAAGTAGTCTGCCTCAAATCCTATGGACTGCTTCCCAGATCACAACTGTGCCGCTAAGTCATGCCTCAAGAAATCAAATCATGAGGTTAATCCCGAAAGACACAAAGGAGATACTCGTCTATCGTCACAATCCTATATTTGATTGTACAATGACTGGGCACGTAGTAATATGTGATCCTTCCCCGTCCTCTTGCGTACCCCGCGAGAAATTTAATCGCGAGCTCAATCACAAAGTGCATGAAGGAGATGCTTTACTATTTCGCAAGGCTAGGTCATGAAATGAAGGTGACACCTGTAAGCTGCGATCACTTCGTTGATTTTGTAGAAATTTAATGCTCTGATACCATTTTGATACGATCCAAGTTGATTTTCAATGGTAATTAGTGCGAAGAAAATACTTTGTTTCACCAACATCAAATCAAAGTAATATAGTACCAAACAACCCACATGAATGCATAAAGGATAAGCAAATATAATTTGAGAGATTGGTGATCTCTCCCAAATCATATATTTAAGAGCTAGGAAATCCCTCTCAAACCGTAATACTCATAACCACAATCTTATGCATAACTCTAAACATATTAGTCCTATTTATACTAAATGATAATAAATAACAAAAGACTAAGTTGTCCTTAGACTAATAAAGACAAAATTGCTCTTAGGAACTGACGTAACATCTTGATTCAATTTGGTCTTTCTTTTTCTCTTAAAGCTTTAATACTTGAGTGGGAAAAGTTCTCGGTCTTTTTCATTTAATATATAGTATAACATGCAATGCACAAAATATTAAAATGACTAATGGTGAAAAGACATAAGATGACTTGAATAACATAGGCATTTGCTGAAAATACTTCAAAGTTATATGTCCTAGGCACCAAGGCTGTTTGGCACCATCACGCATCATTTCTCCCCTCCCTGCTTAACTTATAATAATGAACTCAGATTGTATTTCAATCAATGCTGCTTACGGCAGCAAATTTTTCTTTTTTTTGTTTTTGTTGTTTTTCGAAGCTTCGAGTATTCTACATTAAATGACAACGTTGAAATGTTTGGGAAAAAATCATTTAAATTTGGGGAAAAGAAATAAACACTGAAAAATTAGCGTGGCTATAGTGCTCTAGATTAAGGCTTCTAATTTTGGTTGGAATGGGCAGCATAAAGCAGGCAGGATCTCTAGATTAATTGCAGGTGAGAAGTTCAATCCTACATCTTCCTATTACAGGCAAACCCCTCTCCCTATTAATTTTTTTACGGCTAATTTTAGCTCCAATTGAAATACCTTCTTTTGTTTTACCAATTTTCAATCACTAGTTTTCCAGTAGGACTCACTTCATGTATTCAAGATTGAAACCTTATAGATCACCTGCCTTCTCGCTTTTGTACAACCTTTTTCCTAACCAATCATATGGTGCTTGTGGTTAGAGTCAGTACTACACATACGACCTTTTCCTAACGCCATCAATACTTTTGATCGACTATCTGAAAAAAGGAAAATAGGAAGTAAAGTGAATGTCTAGAAGGAAGGGATTTAAGGAGCAAGCACTGCGGTCAGCAAAACTGTTATATCTTTAGAAATCCAAGAAATTAAATTGGCTTGAGTTTCATTAGGCGTGCTCTTTAACTAGCTTCATTTATGGTTAAGGTTGCATTAAAAATCGAGTCTATTTTTTATGATAAGAATTCTGGGGATGAGAAGAAAAGAATATATAACCACGGACAATTTAGAAGACTCATGGTTTGGTGATTAGGAAACCTTCCAAAAGCTTTTCTCATGAATCACGGTTATCCAGGCTAGGTAAACTTGGCAAGGTTACGGGCTTAGTAATGGAGGAAATCCTAGCTAGGTTAACTAAGAAATGATTACAAAACACTGTTGACTTTGTTTAGTTTTTCTTACAAATCATAATACATCCATCACATCAGGGACTTCTGGAACGTTAACTTGCGCAATTTTTTTGATTAAGGTTTAAAATTAGAAATGCACATAATTTCCTGATTTTTTTTCGTTCATTAATTTAGCAGCAGATGCATTTTATTTTTGGAAAATTACTTGGTACATGTCTCTAGTTGAGCAAATTTTGTTGGTTTTTCTCATCCATTGGATGTTTCATTTTTTCGTTTTTGTTTTCCTCATGTGATAACTATTATTTTTTTTTGCCCATAATTTCATTTTTGAGTTCTCATTAAAAGACGGCAAAGGGCAACGTTTGTGTGATTTGCATCCATTCATCAATGCAGGGATACAAGATTATTGGTTCACATAGTGGTGTTAAAATTTGTAGATGGACGAAGGCACAACTTCGAGGGCGCGGGGGCTGCTACAAGCACTCATTTTATGGGATTGAGAGTCATAGGTAATGATTGCATAACTTTATAGCAATATTGTTGCTTGACGCACTATTCAATATTTGTAGCTGTTGAAATTTCATAATATAGCTCCAAGTATCAGTTTTATTTTTGGATTATAACTATTCCTCCCACTGATTTCTTTTTCATGCTGTATCAAGGTGCATGGAAGCAACCCCAAGCTTAGCTTGTGCAAATAAATGTGTATTTTGTTGGCGGCATCATACTAATCCTGTGGGAAAAGATTGGCGGTGGAAACTGGATGACCCTCTCGTTATTGTTGATGCCGCCATTGACCTGCATGTTAAAATGATAAAGCAAATGAAGGGTGTCCCAGGTATGCCTCTATTTTATGTTAACTGTACTTTCGAGAACTTTTCTGTATGATGGCTGAGGTCATTATCAATCTGAACTTAACAAAGATTGAATGAGTGCTTTTATATTTTCATTTAGTAACTCATAGTTGACATTGACTAATACTTGTGTTAAGAGCTATTTCGTACTTAAATAGTAGTTTTCTGACTTTTTGTTGTCGACATGTTACACACTTATTTGAGCTGTAGACATTCTTTTAATTTAAATGGTTCTGATGTCAAGATTTGTTGTCGAGTTTTGTAACTTCCATGAATAGTCACGATCAGTTTTCTTACTGTAGTAAGCTAACTTATAAAAAAAAGTCCTCCAGAAATTCACATTAACGGCTTGATTATTTTTAAAATATATTCCATGTAGAAAAAGGTCTGGTTAGTAATCTTCTAGCCCTAATCTTAAACATTTTCTGTTTTTGTAAGTTTTTACCTTCTCCTTCCGTTTACTGTAGGGGTTAAGGAGCAGCATTTACTTGAAGGTCTATCTCCCAGACACTGTGCATTGTCTCTTGTTGGTGAGCCAATCATGTATCCAGAGATAAATACACTTATTGAGGAACTGCACCGCAGGCACATATCTACTTTTCTTGTTACAAATGCTCAATTTCCTGATAGAATAAAGATGTTAAAACCTGTTACCCAGGTTTGTACACTTTAATTGATGCAATCAACTTGCTAAACATGCCATATAACGAACAACTTGTCATAAACATTACACTTGCAGTTATATGTGAGCGTTGATGCTGCAACAAAGGAGAGCTTGAAGGCAATTGATAGACCACTTTTTAGAGACTTTTGGGAGCGCTTTGTTGTGAGTTCTCTTCCTTGTATTGGTTAAGTGCGCTATATTGCTTGCCAAGGATGTATTTCTTACTTCTACCAAATTAAATCTTTATTAAGGATGTTTAGCTTCTATAGTAATCTGGTCATTTGTTCCTAAATGTGGTAATGTAGCACAAGGTGTCGGAATTACTTTTATCCACAAATTTGGAACACGCTCATTCTCATCTTTTTCTTATTTCTATTTAGAATACGGAATGTGAAATTCTTTTGAACCACTCATCTATCATAAGGTATTGAGCAAATATTTTTTTTCAGATTTTCTAAGAATTTAGAATCAATTGCTTGTTTTCGTCTTTGTTTTGTTTAATGCTTGTAAAATTTTCTGGGTTCAATCCTCTTCAATTTTAATTGCTTTTCTTATAGTATTCATGATCACAATAATTGATTGTAACACCAAAATTTTCAAATTTAAGGTATATTCTAAATTTTGCATCCCTAAAAATTTAATGGAAGCATTTTTTATAAAATTTTATGCATTGTATTGCTCAAATCGATATGTTATATTATATATGAATTTTGAATGGAATTGGATATATAAATTTAATAAGATGTTGGGTTAATTAAATTAATTAAACTTTAATTAGTTCCAAATCCCGCATGATCTTTGTTCACAATCGACTTATTCATGCGATATTTAGTTCTGGTTTTCATTCGAGGGGATGGTATCCTTTCCAGAGCCTACACATTTCTTCTTCTCCTCTCTTGATTCATTCCCTCAGTGAAAGCTTTGTCTTGTGCACTGTAACTCTGGCGGGATCGAATAACAACTGTGCGCATGACAGAATGTCACTAAAGGCATTTCAGGGCTCCAGGACAAAATTGGTAAATAGGAAACTCTCTTTCATGCTATTTTAGACATCCCTTTCCTTTCTTACACTTTCATTTTGACGTATGCCATGAATTTGTGAACTTTTCATTTATGGTAACTGTATTGGAGATGAACTTTCGTAGGAAGAGACTAACTTGGTCTGTGGGTTTCCATAAGGACTTTTAGCAAGAGATCAACAAGGTTAAGAGAGGATTAAGGGAATATAAAGAAGAGGGAAGAATAATAGGCTGGATCAAACAAGAGCTAGTTATGTCGAGAAGTCTGTTTGTGGTAAGATTTCATAAATGAGCTAAGTATTAGGCTGAATCACAAAATGAACTAAGATTCCATGAAATCCTCTACGATTGCTAGGTTGTTTACACGAGGAGATGAAACCGAGACGAGTGTGTGGAAACTCGTTGTAGGGCTGCTCCATTAATTCAAGAGAAATAATCTTGTGCTAATTTAAAATTATATCTCTATAGGTTTGCATGTGATTCTATATTTGAAGCTGTTGCATTTAGAATTTTTTGCATATTGTGGATGGATATTCGCATTGGCTATATGAATGTAAGTTGATTGCCCCCTTACGTTACATGTAATTTTACTATGCTATGAATTTGATAGATATGTTTACGAAATCACTTCCTACCGGTTTTCATTTGTTATAATTCATGTTTTTTATACATGAAATGCTCGATGAATGTTTGGTACATGAATTATGATTTAAGAAATGTCCCAAATGATGTTATATGTAGATTATTACACGAGTACTTGTAATACAAATGATAGGGATGTTGGGATTCTCTACTTCTGGTATTTAGTCGGTGACAAAACTTTGGGAACCATTAGGACTGAACAACGATGGAATGTTGGGAACCACTAGTACCGGTGGGCTATTGATATAAGGGTGGACAACCTTTATCAATAGCTAATTTAGCCTTCAAGTTGGGTGACGATCCAATAATATGACATGATATGGAATTAGTTGAGACCTATACAATTACAAGTGACAATACTTAGATTGATGATTCTTCTGAACATGCTTATGATTATTCTGCATGATTGAATGACATACATGTTTTATATAGTAATCTTGATTTTTTACATTATTTGCTTTTCTTTTACATGTTTTATATGATTCTAGCGTGTTGTGACTTTTGTGGACATATATAGTTAAAGATGAGCATGCACATTATTTCTTTTCAATGTACACAATTTTTTTTAGCCTTGATTATTTTGCTGAGTTTATCGATATTCACTCTATGTTGTCTTTCAAGAAGGGATAAAAAACACCCAAGGGAGTAGCCAGGTGTGAAGGTGTGACTTGTACATCTTTTTCATTTCATATTTGAGAGCTTGTATGGTCTATATGGTACATATTTATTTATGTTGAATTTAATAGCTCATAAATTGTGCGAAAATAGATGAATGTTTGAAGGAGAATAAAAAAGTACCGTGGGCAGTCTTCTAGACTAATTACAAAGCAAGAGGTATGAGTTGGAAATGTCTTGAAAATAAATGATAATCAACAACATTTTAAAAATTGGACCGAATCGGTCTGTTCAATTCTACATTGAACCAGTTGGTGGTCCGGTTTTGGTTGTGCTGAAAACCGACTCCGCATCAAATCGGGAAGAAGCAACTGGAACCAGCGGTCAAATCAGTCAATCGACCAGAACTGAAGGTAAAATTAGTCAACTGGTTAAAGTGTAATTTTTATATTATGCCAAATTTTTAAAATATGCATGTTTATTAGTCAATTACCCTAATTTTTTATGATTTTGTATTTTCTTGATTATATTTCCCTCTTGTTGACCATTCATATTGAATTTTATCTAATTTTTATGTCATGTAAGTTATATTTAATATTTTTTATTTTTATGACGTCGCCCGGTTCAACCGGCAATGGCCGGTTCGATTTTTTGAACCTTAATAATTTGAACAGGACAAATTAGGAAATTAGAGCAATTGAATTATAGGGCATTGTGCAACTGATATCACAATTGGTTGACAAAATGACTGCTATTGAGAAATCTTCCGTTAGTACAAGACTCAGATCTGAACTTGGCGCAGAAGTTTATTGACTCTTAAAAAAATTTTGCAAACATTCAAGTCACCGACATTCAAGGTTGTCAGTGACCCAACAGTTGTCGAAGATTGACTATTGAAAATTGGGAAGATTCTGGATGATATGATTTGCCCAGAAAATAAGAAAGTGGTTTTAGCCACTTTAATGCTAGAATGCGAGACAGAGAGGTGGTGACAGGTGCAACATCAAGAAAAATTTCAACTGACATATTTTCCACATATTAAGCAGGATGAATTTGTTAAAGTCTTCAAAAATTGGTTTTATTTGCCTTTAGTCATATTACAACTGCAAGATAAATTTTACAATCTTACTTAGAAGTCCAGATCAATTATGCTATGAGATATAATTTATTTTTCTTTCCAGATATGCACCTCATTATATCAATACCCAGGAAGAAAAGGTCATCAATTTCTGCGCAACCTCAGAGATTAGTTGAAGTTGGCTTTAACCCCATTTGAAATAAGTGATTTTTTAGTGTTAGTTGAAAATCCAAATGAATTGAGAATGAGCTGAATTTCTCCAGTTATCGGATCTTGACAAGAGAGACTATTTCCAAGTTAAGAAAATTAAATCAAAAGGTAGGTAGAAGTAGTCTCAGTCAGAAAAGCCAGTTTGTGAGAAATCTAGAAAAAATTATTTTGGGTAGCCCTTGATGACTTCAGGAAAGTGCTACAAATGTGGTTAGCCAGGGCATCTTCAGATGAACTGTATGCAATAATAGAAAAGAGATAGCAGATCGCTGACATCAAGGACGGGGCATCCCATAAAATTTTTAGAAGACTGTAAATCCAACAAAACTCAGTTTTTGGGAAGGCCTTCAATACAAGGGTGAAACTTCAGAGCGTAAAATTTATCAGCCAGTAAAAGCTAGAGTTTTTGTAATTACCCCTCAAAAAGCCAAAAATTTAAAGAAATGGTTATAGGTACGCTTCTGACGTATGAGCAGCTTGACACTATTTTTTTTTATTTAGGTGCTTCACATTTTTTCATTTCTAATGTATTTGTTGTCAGTTTAATGTTTGATATTGTGCATTTTACTCCTACATGTGTGTTGTTTTGTTTTCAGGAAATAAATTTTATGCAAATAGAAATTGTGTGGTACAGTTAACATTCATGATAAGAAATTGCAAGCAGAATTAATTATCATATCAATTCAGACTTTCAATATTCTATTAGGGATGAATTGGTTGGTAAAAATTTTGCTATAACTAAATGTTAGAAAAAATGAATGAAACTCAATTTTCTTGGTAAAAAACCATTCTATATCTTACGTGATTAAACTGCACGATCTTCTTTGATTAGCACAGTGAACATTTGTTGACCTCATTTTTGGTGAGGTCTAGTCTTCCTCTTAGGGTTTAGGATCTAGCCTTAGGGATCTCCCTTCGACTATCTTAGAACCTTAGAAATGGGACCCTCCTCGTTTTAGAAATTCAACCTACTTCTGTACCCTTTTGGAGTTTCGTGTGTGTGGTATCGACTTCTAGCACTTAGAAGGGTGAAACCAACATGAGGAAACCCAAAAGGGGTTCCTATAGGGCCTTTGGAGCCTTAGGGTGGCCTTCTGCACAATTCGCACTCCCGCGCGCACAAAACTTTACAATTCAGAGAGTCGATACATCCGATCGCCACAATTCGCATCGCTTGCACTGTTACCCGTCGAAGGCTTGAATAAACCTTTTGAAACCATTGATCGCGGGTCGAAATTTTATGAAATTTGAATTTTGACGCGTTTTTGACCCGATTGTCGACGACGTCGTCCGAGCGAGCCCGGGTGACAAAACGGACTGCACCGGCACGTCCGGAGCGTTGACTTTGAAACCGGACTGCACCGGCACGTCTGGAGCGTCGATTTTGCCTAGGAAGGACACCCATTTTGTTACGACACCGTGCGCGAGTAAATCACATATAATTTAATATATATATATGTATATATGTATATATATTAATTTATATAAAACCATTTTCTCTCTTTCCTCTTTAAACACTAAATCCCTAAACTCACGCACCCGAGCTCTGCCTCCATTCCCTCTCCCGTTCACGTGTCTGGCCTTTCCCTTTCTCGGTC